GGTAAGGGAACAGCTGATTGTCGGGTCGCTTACCGACCTTCGCTCTACGATTTCCCACCTATACGAGCACCGTTTTTTGATCGCATTTGTGATCGCAAAAATGGCCTCGTAGAGCGAATTCATCGCTCTACGAGGCACCCGTTCTGCGAGGCACCACTGTATAGTCCTTCTTTATTTTTCTCCTTTTCTTAACGTTTGACTGTTTATGTCCAGTTTTCTATCTAGCACTGCATTGAAGTCCCCTACACAGCAAATATCTTTGTATTCTTTATCTGCCAATTCTTTTTGTAGTTCTTTGAAAACTTTATCTTGATTTTTATTTGGGGCATAAATATTCACTATCAATGTTTTTTTTTCCTTCCCTCTTTGAATTTTTACTATCAATATTCTTCCATCTTGTGATGCAAAAAAATGGTTTAGGTTTCAGATCCTCTTTTATAAATGTTGCTATGCCTCTCTGTCATTTTATCTGTCCTAGGCAATTGGAATGTTGTGCTTCCCTTGCTAGGTGAAGATAAAACAAACACTGAACACTATTTTTAGTGGGAAAGCACAAAATATATTTAATACATAATCAAGTTCCCATATTTAGATTGCCTGAATTTTGTAATTTAGAGTTCTAGATGCATCCATCTGATTTGGAGTACTTGTGAGCAGTTAATATAATGTTTGCCAGGGTATAGGATAGACCCGTCTTTTCTTTCATTATTCTCACATACCATAGCATGCTTTCTGACCAACCTTGATGAAATTGCACACTCCAGAAATCTGCATAAAACCAATTTATATTTTGTAATGTGTCCTTTATGGCTGCCAAGACTATGGAAGTTCAACTTATAGTAGTCTGCTGAGATTGTTTAGTATTAGATTGTTTCACTTTTGAGGATTAACTTCTACTTAGAAAATGAATATACCTTCCTTAACCAATTGCCATAAATTCTTTGATATGAGGTGTTCGGTTTTCAGGCACCTCCAATGATAGTTTCCAGTAGTAGTTCCTCATTAGTCTAGCCACTTACAAAGGCATCTTGCTGAGCCTTAAATTCAAGTAGTCTTACTTCAGGTAAGTGGACATAGGATTGCAGCATAAAACTAATTTAACACAGTGTTACAGTAGACTGAACGCTTGTTCACAGAAGGTTAGAGAGCTCTGCCATTTAGATCATCTATCATAACTTACATTATTTTGAATGTATAGCTTTGGCTTTTAAACTGGCTTACGATTTTTAATTTGGAGTATTACATTTCAGAAAATGATCTTTTTGCAAAAGAGCTAATGCAAGTTGGATAAAATGGCAAACAAAAAAAATACATGTACATTTTTCATATTTTCTGTTCTTGAGAAAAGAAACTAGTTACCTGTTTTATTTTTGTGCAATGAAATCATGCTTGAACAACACACCTGGTTGAACAGATTGGTTCTGACAAAAAAGAGCCTAAAGTGCACATGTATGCCTGTGTTACCACTGACAGAGGAACTATTAATTCAAAGAAACAAGCAAAAAGATGGATCTTCTATTTTTAAAGAAAAGGTCAGAGGAACGTTCCTTTTCAGTTCAATATAAATCACTTGTGGTTTTTTCCTTGAATTAATGTGAAGGCTATAAATTACAGTGGTGCCTTGCTAGACAATGATAATCCGTTCTACTGAAATAACTGTTCAGCAAAATCATCATCTAGCGAAAAGCATTTCCCTGTTGGAATGCATTGAAACCTGTTTAATGCACTCCGATGGGGAAGAATCGTCGTTGTCTAGCAAATATCAGCCATAGGAAAGCCACTTTTCGAACCGCTGATCAGCTGTTTAAATAGCTGTCTTGTGAAGCGTAGGTCCCGAAAACACTCATTTTCCGAGTGCGGAGGGAGCTGTCAAAATGTCGTCTAGCGAAAATTGGTTTGCAAAGCAGGGACCAAATATTGTCGTTAAATTCCCCCATAGGAATCACTGTTTTGCAAATCTCTATAGCGATCGCAAAAAGTCAATGTCTAGCAAAAAACCTGTCATGCGGGGTAACTGCCTAGTGAGGCACCACTGTAATTTCTAAGGTCAGACCCAAACATACATATCTAGCAATGGGTTGTTATTATAAAAATACTGCTAATTATGCAGTATTTCCTTACTAGATAAAGATGTATTTATACAGGTTCATAGTACATATAGGCATTACCATAGAGAATGAGTGTAATAACTTTCAGTGATTTTGTTTATGCTTTCCACATACCTAATTTCACCCTATAGCAGTGGGGCCCGCCAAAGGATTTTATTCTGCCAAAGACTTTACTCAATCCATAATTGAATATTAAGGCCATTATGGACACGGGAAAGACTGCCTGGTGGATCTCTGCTTTCCATCAGCCAAGGAGCCTCTTGTGCTGGGAGACCTACTGTATATTGTTTAAGATGGAGGACCAACATTTCTAAATTTCCAGTTCTCAGTAAAGATATGGACCACCTCTACATAGAATTTGACATCACTGTATCACCAGATAAAGCCAGTTTCTTCATCTGTAGCACCACTCTTCCATCCTACCCTGGAACAAGAGGCAGCCACCAAGCTCCTAAGGTAGCTCTTTCCATCAAACTCCCCACCCTCATGTTGCTTAATTTTAATTTCTCACTTGATGAAGGGACAATGCTTTGGAAAATTTGCCCTTTTTTGTGCCTCCACACACTTTTTGTTAACATATAAAGATGTCACCTTGGTTGTGAATTTAGAGTTTGTTTTGTGACAACACAGTGGTTGTGTTTGTTACTGCTGTAAATGATGTTTGATAAGTGGCAAACAAGGAAGGCAAAGTCAAGAACTCTAAATACCATAGGTGTGGAACTTGAGTGAGAAAAAGCTGTTTGGTCACACAGACATTATGTATTATGGCATGTTTTACTATCTTAATGTATGTCATGTTCTGAAAAAGCATACCATAGAGCACCAGCCCTCCAGATGTTTTAGGAATGCAAGGTTATAGTTGTCCACTCCTGTTAATGGCGAGACTGAACCAAGAAAGCTTTGGTTCAAATCTGGCTGCTGCCATGGCCTGATCTGGCTTCCCCACCCCATTCAGTTTCAGTAGGGTTTCTAGGTATGTGTGGTTGGGGCTGCTGAACATTTACCCATTATTGTTAATTCGATTAAGGCTCTGGTTTGAAGGAGAACGAATCTGCTTCTTATGCCTTGTGATGCTGCTGTGAATATAGACAAATTGGTATTTCAGTTTTAATCTTCATATGTTAAAAAAAGGAAACGGCATAACTAGTAGCAATTCTTTTTTAAAAGTTCCCCTTTCTGGTTATCATACAGAGCAGCTGTTGGTAGTCATATGATTTTGACTAGGGATACTTACAGGAAGCAGCAAATCACTTCAGTGGAAGTGCAGAATGAAAGTATTTTGATGTCAGGCTATTTCCACTGTATCAACAGACTTTCCATCAAAGATTTCTCCAGTTATGTTAGGAAATGTGTAGAAAAAGTTAACATATACTGACAAAATAAATAAAATATGGATACAGAATCAATCAAAGAGTAAGTGGGCTGAGTGGCTGCAAAATGCTGACAGACTGGGATGGGGTGGGAGTGTGGTTGCTTTCCTCATGAATAGGAGGATTCCAGACTGCTACATTTTGTTGCAGGTCTCACTTGTTGATCTAAGTTTTTGTTGTCCCAGACCAGTATGCAGTGCAATTTTGTGTTTCTATTCCATTTCTGCTTCCACGATGTTTGGGTAATATTTGTATTGAAAACATGCATCCCCTTAGCTGTGTTGACACAGTATACTTTGGTGCCTAGAGTCCCTGATAATGAAAAAGGAACAAGCCTTTTAGGGCAAAGGAGATGTTTATATGCCAATATTAGCAGTATATAGGAAGCTGCCCCATTCTGAGTCACCCACTATTACTAGCAACAGCTCTCTGGGGCTTCCGGCACATTTTTTTCAAGGCCAGCTTGTTGATTTCAGGAATTGAACCCCGGGGCTTTGTGCATACAAAACAAACACATTTATTGTTACTAATGCACAGATTGTCCCCTGATCTCAAAATTATTTTGAGTATGGAATTTCACCATCCGACAAACTCCAGTGGATCTCCAAGTTTTCGTTTCTATGAGATGTAAATGTTAAATGGAAGTATCTGTGGCTACATTTCACTTGTTATAGTGATATCATCACCCCATATGTTTGTTAGTGAATTACTGAAAAGGGGGGGGACAGCAGTATGAATTAATAACCTAGTCTCAGGCAGCACTGTGCATATTTACTCGGAAATAATCCCTCCTTTGTTCAGTGGTAAATGTGCACGGGATTACCACTCATTTCCTGACAAGAATCATTCCCCAATCCTACAGTGTAATGACAAGTGCACTTTCAGTCAGATTGCTCTGAGTTTGTGGAGATCAGCTGCAGTGTCGGAATAAGACCATACCAGAATTTCTAGGACCAGGTTTAGATAAGGATGAGATAGAAATTAACTCTTTACTAGGATAGAGAATACTTGAGTGTTAGTACAGATACCAGAATATACTGAGCCAACTTCTGGAGTTCGTATATTCCAGTATCTGTGAATGGGGCTGTCCTCCTGGAAGTTAAGTACTTTCAAGCCCTATTACGAAACATAACCTTGGTTTTAGAGTTTAGACCAATGTGTGATGAGAGGAGGGAGGCCATGGCAACTAATGCCATCCCTGCTGCCTCTGTGCTGACTAAGCCTCCCTGTGGGATTTACACACACAAAAGGAAATGTCTGCAAAGAGAGAGATCTGCGCTCATAGGCTTCCATGTTATCTGGAATCCTCCACAACTGAGGGGACAATCAAGTTCAAATCCCAGGCACCAAAATTGATGCAATAAAAGTAAATTGCATCAAATCTAAGGAAATAATGTTTTACACCATACTGAAAGACTTAAGTATTTATGTGGTTTTAGAAGAGGTAGCCATGTTAATTTGTGCCAGCATATCAAGCAAAAACAAAAGATTTTTTTTTTAAAAAAAGATCAAAACATTGAGATACCTTAAAAACTAAATGCTGTATTTTAATGTGAGCTTTCATGGACAAGTTCACTTCCTCAGACCCAATGTCTTTCATAAGTATTTATGAACATGTTTTTTAATGGATGCTTCTTCCAGAATATTCCCTTAGGCCTTTCCAGACCCAAGTTCTTATAGTTCAGCCTTGTAGATTTTACTGTGTCCAATGAGAATTATTCCAGTTCAAGTACCCATGTGACAGAAGAGCCACAAATAGTGTCTCACTGTGGAAGAAAAAACAAGAAGTCTTGTGATGCCTTAAAAATTAACAAGGTTTACTTGGTATTGGTAGTCTTACTTTTTAAGATGGCACAAGACTCCTTTTTGCTGCAACAGAATGGCTACCTTCCCCCCATCCCCCCCAATATTTGTTGAGGAAATCTGATTCTTGCTGGGAATGGTGAAGCTCTAGTGACCTTAAGCCAAGCTCTTTCTCAGCCTAATCTACCTTACAGGGCTGTTGTGAAGATAAAGTGGATTTAAAAAATCATGAACCAATGAGGAAGGGAAGCAGGAAATAAGGGACATAAGCAGTGTGATGCATGAGCAAAACCTGGACTAGCCAGTACTTTTATTAAATACTGTACACTACTAGCTTCCATGGTCAGATACTGAACATACAAATTAGACGACCCCAAGTGGAGCTTTGTTTATTTGGCTGCTGCAGCAGATACTCAAACAGACTAATAGGGCTACCGCTGTTGTCTCTGCTTGTTATCTATAGTCTGGGATTAATTTAGCCACAATCATTGTCACTGTTTACAGAATAATGCTTCCTGGAGAGCAGCTGAGTATCAACAGGGGACTTAAAAGTCATTGCCAAGTGTGAAATGCTGCACTATGAACTTGTGCCCAGAAAAAAAGAAGCCTCTTCATTAAAAAACAACACTTTTCTGGTAGTATAAATGTATAAAGATTTGCCAGGTAGCCCCACTCTTCCGTATGAGGAAGTGGGCTTGTCCACGAAAGCTCACCTTAATATACAGCAGTTTGCCTTTAAGGTGCTGCAACATTTTTGCCTTCATTTTTTTTAAAAAAAAATCTTTTATTTTTACCTGCTATGCAAACTTTTAAGAATCTGCTTGGTGTGTCATAGCATCAGGTTTCTCCTCAGGGCCTGGAAAAGCAGTTACATGTTACTCTCCCGTAGGCGTTTCCAAAGGAATGTCCGAGGAAGCGGACTTTGAGCCCTGATAGCTCACGCTGTTAAAAACGTTGCTCAGGCGTCCCGGTGCTCCCACGGGTCGGTCTCTCCCTTCTCGGCCTCCTTTTCCTTTGGCAACAAGACAAAAAGGCTGCCAGCACGACGTCCCTATACTGTATGAAGGTGCAAAGGGTGCTGGGCTTAACCCGGATTTGATCTTGAAAGAAGCCGCCACTGGAGCGCGAGACCACCCCCGTGCAAGGCGCCCCCCCCCCCGCGAGACTACCCCGGAAGAGGCCACGCTTCCTATCGGGCTCTTCTCATTGGCTGAGCACCCCGAAGGGCGGAGGGAGGCGCTCTATCACGTGGCCAAAGGTATTTTGACTTTGTGGCAGGCGAGGCCTGTTCACGGCCGGGTCCTAGCGCCCCACCGTCTTCACCATCCGGGAGAAGCCATGGAGGGAAAAACGTTGCCAACGGGTGGGGCAGGAGACGGAGGCAAGGAAGAAGAGGAGGGGCACGAACGACAGAAGCCTCTGCCATCTCCCGTCAGTGCGAGCGGGTCCGACGGCGAAGGCTGCGAAGGCCTCTGGGAACTGCCCGTGGAAGTCAGCGCTCGGAGACCAGAGTGCGGCCGGTGCGGGTGAGTGGGAAAGCCAGGCCGTCGATTCCGCCCTGTGGCCACGTGACGCCGAGCTGTATACGTGCGTCTTGCGCCCTCTGCTGGTCGAGCGGCCTCAACGCAACTTTTGCCCCCTGATCCGAGCAACGCTGGAAAAAACAGCGTTTTTTTCTTTTCCATTTTGTAAGAGGGAAGATTTTTCCTTCCTCTCTTAGATCCCCTTTCTAGTTACCTGCTTCTGAACCTTCAAGAACGATCAGTTCATTTGGAGGGTGCAGATGATTACTTAGCGGATGTAAAGATATATAATTTTCACAGAGAGATCAGAATGAGGTAGAGAATTAGCCTACAGAAAATAACTGATGCCATATCCGTGAAAACACATTATTTTCTCTTATAGTATAGCTATGCTCTACACGATTCCCTTGGTTCTCTGAGAGCACAGGGTGACATCCATGGATTCTTTTAGTGGTCTAGTTAAGGTATCCCACCCTTAAGTTTGCATGATCTGGCAAAGAGTCTAATCCACACAAAATGTAGGAGAGAGAACTGTTTATTAATGCAGTATGTGTAATGCTGTAAGGCCATGCAGCCGGACCATCCAAAGGTGAGGGTGAGTGATACCTTTCTTGTTGTTCTGTGCCATCAAGTTGGGACTGACTGATAGCAGTCATAATGGAGTTTTCAAGGTAAGTGAGAGATTTAAGGAGTGGTTTTCCCAGTTCAACAGCCCCAGTGAGTTTCCCTGGCTGAGCAAGTATTCAAACCCAGGCTTTGAGAGTCTAACTCTGTCACTCATCCACTACATCACACTGGGTATCCCTAAAATAATCAACTTCTGGTGCAAGTGTTGACTCCAGAAGGGACATTCTGCTGCCTTCATACCTCACAGCAAATCTGAAAGTATCTCTTTCAACAAGGATACCTATGCAATCAACATCCTTGCAGTTTGTTACTTGTGTCAGCAATGCCGTTGTCATCTCCCTGTGCCTGTCTGTGTATATATGTGTTTACTCCTTAAAATGTGCCTAACTGACGAAGTGGATGAATCCACTAAAGCTCACACTGGAATATAAACGTTAGTCTTTCAGCCTCCACTGTGTTGTTTTGCTTTGTTTTTTATTTGGTTTTGATTTTATCTGGCTATGCTCACACAGACTAACACGTCTACTCCTTTGAAAACTACGTTATTGTGGCTTTTGAAAACCCAACCCAGTGCCTGCTGGGAAGATGGTTGTCACTGCGTGAAGAAAGTCCCCTGCTTCAGCGCTGTGCACAAGAACAATCCCACCCACAAAGTAAAGGACAAGCAGTGCCAGACAGCATCGGCTGCTTGCTTTTCTGCTTCTACGACGACGACGGCTAATAATAATAATATGTGCCATCAATAATAATAATATGTGCCATCAACTTTTCCAAGTATATAGTAATCATCATCATTTTAGAACTGCAGAGCTGGAAGGGACTCTATGAATCGTTGAGTCCAACCCCTGTCAAGGAAGCCCAGTGGGGAATTGAACTCCCAATCTCTGGCTCTGCAGCCAGATACCTAAACCTCTGAGCTATCTAGCAGTTCTGTACTCAGAACAGGTTTAGCCTTCCCTTCTTCCTGGAGCACACTGGGAGCTACAGCCCCACAGTTGGACACCAATGTCTCGCAGCTGCCCAGCCAGTCCCCCCTTTTGGGGCCAGTGAACCGGGTGGGAACAAAAAGTAAACGGGCATCTTCTGCTTTAATATAATATAATTTTAGAACTGCAGAACTGGAAAGGGCCCTCTGGATCACCAAGTCCCTCTGTCAAGGAGGCACAGCAGGGCATCAAACTCCTAACCTATGGCTCTATAGCCAGATAAGCAGTTTTCATTTCCTGAATGGAAGTGTCTGCGAACAATACAAATTTGTAACCCCAGAAATAGGGCAGGATCACTTCTAGAGCAAAAGTGGTCAACACTGCAGTCTTTCCACTTCTCAAACTTAAACGAGAGCCTTTATAGTGGGACCAAAAAGAAGACTACATTTAGTCTAACTAAATGTGAGCTCCTGGAGGTGTGGGAATGCTGCTAAGTATGCTTGAGTTGTACTATACCGCCACCTAGTGGATAATTGTAAACATTACAGCTTGCTTGCAGTTCTGGAATATTTTGTATTACAACTTCTCTTCTTTAGCATACCCATGGTGCTAAAAATAAAGGGCCATATCCAATTTAACAGGGGCATTATTATCCCTACTACTTGACAATGATTGCCAAAAGTTTATTTTGCTGCCACCACTATGTCTTGGAATAGCCCTTCAGCAGAGTGGGACCTTGGAGCCATATGTGGTCCCAAAGCTGTGTTTGCAGCCTCCTACTTTTCTTCATTTAAAAAAGTGAACGGCAGCTTCCGAAAGCCTGGAGGAATGCCAATTTACAACATTCCCTCTAATTTTCCACCAGCACTGAGCAGAAACCTCGCCCTGTGCATGCAAAGTTCCAGCTGCGACCAGAACAAAATGAGCAGCAACGCGAACCGTGGCTACACGGCACCAATACAGTGCTGTGCAGCCGAGAACCCTCTGGAAACACACTGGGCCCAGATGCCTTCTGAGGGGAGAAAATGGAGATGGGAGGTGCCTGCTATGACTGGCTTAGGAGCACCCACGCTAAATGTCAGGATGGATATATATAAATCAATGCCTTTTTAAAAAAACACACATTGATTTAAATCATGGTTTAAATCAGTGGTTCTTAACCTTTTTGAAAGAAACGCCCCCTTGAGCCATTGAGGAAGTTATCATCGCCCCTCCTCGCCATGGTGATGATACCTTATTTATTTATTTATTTATTTATTTATTTATTTATTTATTTATTTATTTATTCATTCATTCATTCATTCATTCATTCATTCATTCATTCATTCATTCATTCAAGACACATAAATCCAATGACCCCTGAAAATAAAATTCAATTGCAAGAAAATGAAATGCCTGAAAAAAATTAACATTTAATGATTTAGTTACAAGTGAATTTTAAGATGCAAAAAGAAATATAAAAAGGGCATAAAAACAAACCCCTTGGGAGGCAGGCACCACAAGGCTGGCTGGAGCTGGAGAACCACCTGGCAAGGCAGACACCACGAGTCAGGCAGGTGAAGCAGGAAGCCCCTTGGGAGGCAGGCACCACGAGGCTGGCTGGAGCTGGAGGAA